GGTGTCCGTCGGGGACACGTGGAGCTCCGGCTCTCACGCGCTGACAGCATTTCTGGGGCTGGGTATGTTCAGCATCCTGATGTCTTCTGGGTTCAAAACCTGCTTTTTCACCAGCGGTGAACCCCAGGGTCTTACACTTTCTGCCCCGCTGCACCTACAGCATGGAGGCAACATGCTGGCGTCCCCGTCTGGGGGATGACAGAGCCCACAATCCCCGCAGCCCCTTGCTTTCACCTTCCCAGGGAAAAACCCACCGTCTCGGGATGCTCTGCATCCCTGGGGAGGGATGGCAGCCCCATGAACTTCCCCCAGCCAGGGCCTTTCTCCTCGGCCGTCCCTGGCCATCCCAGCCCGGGCACGGCGGAGGAAGCCATCCATTCTTTTATGTGCGAAGGCACGCCGGGCGGAAACGGTTGGAAACGGCCCCAAAAGGACATTCCAAGTCTGGCAGGAAAGCGGCCCGCTCGTCTGGCAGGAGATGGGCTATTGTCTGTCCCGGTGGCCGGCCGGGATTCCTTGGGTCCTGCTTGGAAGTAGAAAACGTCCGTGTGTGTCTTATTTTTTCCTCTGCCCTCTCTCTCTCTCGGGGGCTGCACGTGGCTGGTGCGTGCACAGCAGGGGTGTCGCGCCGCCCCGGCTCTCGTCGGCGTGGCTGTGTTTGCTCCTACGGTGTTTCCCCCTCGGGTTTTTGCCCCGTGCGTTTCTCCCCTGGCTGGGTCGGTTACCTGGCAGGATGGGGCCGTGGGGTGAGCTGCTTCGTGCTGCTCGGGATGGGGGGGATTTGTTTTGGGATGCCTGGGTACCACGCTGGGCTCCTGAAGGGGAGGGTCTGCCGTAATCTGTGAACTGGTAACTTTTTGCTGTAACTGGCGAGAGAGAGGGAAAACAAAAGCCCCAGGAGCCTCTCCTGACACCCCAGTCAACCTGATGGGCAGGTGGGGGTGAGGCCAGCCTAAAAATCTGGGCAGTCCAGCTCCCGCAGTCGACCGCTGGCCACTCTCCCCGAGTCCCCCTTCTGCGGGAGCCCTTTGCTGTCCCCTGGGGTGGGCTCAGCCCCGAGTCGAGGGGCAGGATTAGCCCCGATGCAGGAGCGCAGCAGCATGGGGAGGGGGTTCTGTGGCGCTGGGCAGGGGTGTGGGACCGTTCCCACCCTCGCACCCTCTCCTGGGACTTTGTGTGTCTGCGCCTTTCTGGCCTCCTGCGCTCTCCGGTATGTTTGCAAAGAGCTTGGGTTTCACATAACCCCAGCGCCTGCTTTGTCCCTGCCCCAGCCACGGGCAGGTACCCCCCTGCCTTCAGGCAGCCTCCCCCTCCAGCCTCCCTGCGAGCAGAAACCCTTTTCTTACGACCGCAGGCAGGATCTGCTGCGGAGAGAAAGCCTGGTCCAGCCAGCACCACACCTTTGCCGGGTGGCTTTTTGGCTTTTCTTCCTCTTGCTGCTCTGTGCTGGTGGTGGGGAGATGCCAGCACTCCCCTTCTCTGCAAAGCCAGAGCCCACACAAGCGGCCGGGAAGGGGCTCTGGGTGCTGGGGGTGGGTCTCAGCATCTTGCTGGTGCTCCCTGAGCTGCTGGAGGTGGTGCCAGGCAGGGTGGGGGTTTGCTGGCACCTCGGCCCCACCGGCCTTTGGAGCTGTTCTGCCACAGCACAACCGGGGCAGATAGGATCAGCTGGCAGGCAGGAAGGGTGGCACGGCCACGGGGAGAATTACAGGACGTGCCTTTCGGGGCTAGAAATGGAGAAAAAAAGCTGTCGCCATCCCGAAAAAAATCTCAGCCCTTGGACTCGCTGGGCTGGAGTTTGGAGGCAAGGAGAGCACAGTGATGCCTGCACGGTATGGGCGTTCTAGGGCTTTGGTGCTTGTGAGATGAGCCCCCGCTTCTTGCTCCCCAAAATGCCATGCCGGGAGGAAGCAGCGCCTGGTCCCTCACCGAGGACTCGTGGTTCCCCTGAGGGTCCGTTTTGGTCCTTCAAGCTGGTACTTTGCATCCCAGCGCCGTTCCCTCCCTTCCCCTCCGCCCTGCATTAAATGGGAAACATTAAAGGCGAAGATCTGTTACACTCCCCGTGCCAAGGCAATTGTTCCCATCCCCATTGTCTGCCACAGGCAGCCCCGGAGCCCAGCACCTGAGCCTGCAGCACAGGGCTGCCGCGGGAACCAGCCTTGTAACAAGATAACGGCGCTGGTTTTCTCCTTTTTTCTTCTTTCTTTCTTTTTTTTTGTTCTACAAACCATATAATAAACCCACAATGAAGCCCCTTTCAAACAGACCCCTATTAAAGTACCGTCCCCATTTTGAGAGTAAACTTCTAGTGGTACCAGGAGGTTAAGTACAATAGAAATGTGACCTGCTGGAGGTGTGGGATGTTGCTTTTGTGTGTGTGTGTGTGTGTGTGTCTCAAACTGAAGGCATCGCTCTGCGCTGCTGCAGCGTTGCTGCTGCTGCCCCATCGCCTGGGCAGCCGGTGCTGGGCAGCATCCCAGCTGGATGGGATGGGAAGGAGGGCAGACCTGTGGCAGGGATGCACTGAGCAGGGTGGGTTTTGCCTACCAAAAACCCCCAAAACCAATCAAAAAAGGCTGGAGGGAGGGAGCGGCTGCCCAGGAGGGCGCCCAGGGCAAAAAGCTGCAGACGCCACGCGTTCGTGCCTCAGTTTCCCCCCACGTAGCACAGCACGAG